TACTGCAGTTAAAGTGTCTGGTTTTCGTCCTATGAGGCTGACTACAACACCAGTCAAAGTGATGGAAAAAATTATAAGGAAAAAGCTGCTTTCTTGGATTAAGAAATGGCACGGATTTCCACCTCAATTACATGGCTTCGTTTCGAAAAGATCTACCATCATTAATCTTGTAAAAAGCGTTTTTGACTGGAGAAAAGCTTTTGATACTCGAGATCAGTTGATATAATCTATGTCGATCGACCTTTCAAAAGCTTTTGACAAAATTCCTCATAATGTTTTAATGAAACTACAGAAGTTTGGCATTTCTGGCAATCTTTTGAAATGGTTTCGCTCTTACCTTCAAGACCGATTCATGATCATCAAAGATGGACAGTCGTTTCCCGGGGAGTATCAATGCACTAGTGGAGTACTCAGGGAGGGGTGCTCTCCCCATTTCTCTTTTTGATTTTCACCTTTGAACTACCCGCTCTAATTGACTTGAATGGTGTTGATGTCCACATCTATGCGGACGATATCAAACTGTATGCATCTTACAATGAATATGATTTCCTTGATGTGCATACATCGATGCAACAAGGTTTAGATAAACTAAACATGTGGGTTTCATCCAACGGACTTTCCTTGTATCCCAGCAAATGCTCATTTTTCTTTTACATCTGGGCAAAATTTGTCCAAACAAATATGAAATCAATGGAACGGATTTGGTAGCTTGCCCATTAGTCAGAGACTTAGGTGTTTCTGTTGACTCTCAATTAAATTTCTCCAATCATATTGATTCTGCTGTTAAAAAAGCATATTCGATTCTTTTTGCAATTTTTCATGTTATTCACTCTTCTAATCAGTCGTTCTGACTAGACTATATAAGGCGTATGTGTTACCACATCTTGAGTATTGCTTTCAAGTGTGGAACCCTTCTAGAAAGAAAGAAATTATCAAGATTGAAGGAGTTCAACATATATTTACACGGACAATGAGCGCATGAGACTTTTTGGTTTGAAATCATTGAAACGTAGAAGAATTAATGTTGACTTAGTTTTTTGTTTTGCGATTCTGTGGAAAGACATTGACCCTCCTGCCAGCAACTTTTGGGTCTTCAGACCTGTGAGTCGCAGAATAGGGGGTTTCAATCTTCACTACCCTAGATTAGATAATTACTGCTATTCTGGCCTTTTCAATTTTTTGTTCTATCGATGTGCTCGCTGGTTTAGACGACTGCCTGCTAAGTTGCAGTCGGCTAAAAACAGTCGGGCTTTCAAAAAAGCTTTAGAGAAGTCAGAAATTTTGAATTTATTGAGAGTGATTCGTATTTATGTTGATGTTTTCATTTTTTGTGCATTTGATTCAGGTAGAAGCCATAGCCTGTCTGAGCAAAGAAGTCTACGTCTTGTGGTTTTTTATAACCCTTTTCTCTTTTCTGTTTTGAGTTTATTGACGTTCTTTTTCAGATCTGGCTCAAGTGGGCTTTTGGCTGGTGACTGTTTTGTGCTATATGAATTATGGCTTATACTTTATGCTCCCTTCTGGACTGCAACTGAGACTCCATTTCATTATGTGGCATCAACTGCTCCCTCAAGAGCTTCCTGCTTCGTCGAATGGTTTTATTACAGTGCAGCTGCGCTCTAATTCTCTGTTGTGAAAGATGGCCAGATCAAGTACAGCGTCGACCGCTAACTATATTGTTTCGATTGTTACTAAACATCGATACTTTATAATTAAAACCAGCTTGTCTTAATCTATAGCGGAATGACTTTAATCGACATCTAATGCCTCGTCTAGCCTAGACCCAATCATTGCTTTCAAATAGTCTAAATATGTACTGTTAAGTCTCTTTGTATCTAGAAATTCGTCCAGAATGTTGCCTTCATCTACAGTTAGTTTTTCCGGGGGTCGTGTCAGCTAGCTTCACCCGCAGGCTCGTTGACAACCAAAAAAAAGGGTCTATCAATCTAGATGAAGCAAGATTCTGCTGCTTAATCATTCTTTGATTAGTATTCTTTATCTGCTGATTGTTTGGCAGATTTCATGGGACTGAGTCTTCTAGTTCCTTTACGTGCGCGTTTGACTTCCGTTGCGTTTAAAGGCAGCGTCCAGGCAGATCTGAACTTATGGGGCTTTTACGTGGAAAGTACTTTTGGGGCCCTAAATAAGGCATTGCCCAAGCGGCAGCTTAGGTAGTGCTGTAATGGCTGAGATATTCCCTTCGAAACTGGACCCCGCGACCGTGTTTCGCATGGATTTATGGCGCAAAGCGTGGATCCTGGCGCGAAACTGCCATGAATCCATGCGATTACCTTCGCGGGGGCCAGTTTCGAGGGGAGTATCCATTAGAGCACTAGGGGAGTAGCCATTAGAGCACTACATGAGCTGCCGCTTGGGCAGTGCCTTAGTTAGGGCCCCAAAAGTACTTTCCACGTAAAAGCCCCATAGGTCCATATCTGCCTGGACGCTGCCTTTAAGACTAGCTGGTATTGTATTTTGCCGTTTCTTTTTCTTTTGTGTTACACCTTTGAGTGTATAAGTAAAGTAAAGTAAATCTTATGTACAACATTTCTTTCTGCTGCCAACACATTGTGCCTCGCAAACTGTTTTTGCTATCACAATTAACTGTTAGCAGCAACAATATCTGTTATTTTCTACATTTGCTTCTACAGTTTTGATGGGCGTATCTCTCTATTATGGAAATTTACTTCTAAGCCAATGTGTTGACTTTTGCAAAGCTGGTGAGGCTAGTTCTCATGTTCATTCCAAGTATTTAATTTTTCGTGTTTGCAAAAGAGAAAGTCTCCAAAATGATGCCCTTTCTTTACACCAAGGCATCAAGCCGAGCGGGCGCTGTGTACGCCGAGAGGTATTGATGAGAAGTGGGTACAACTATACAATTATTTTCCCTCAAAAACGATTTACTTGTATTTGTATCAGGGGCCGCATCTTTCATTGCACTTTATGTTTTTGAATGCAAACGTTAAAGCGGTTGAGCAAAGCCAATAGGCGCACTGCGTTCAAAGTACTTGCGCTTTCCTCAAGAACATGCCAATGTATTCTTCCTTCAGAATCCTGTTCCAAACATGGCTACCTAACTTATCGCAAAATCACTCCTATGCGCTTCCTCTCAAAATATTTCATAGCCCACGAGTTTGGTTGTCTTCGAATCTCGACACTACGTTAAGCACGTCGATGTGGTAATTGAGCTTGACGAAGATTGGTGAATAAATTATAGGGATCGACAGCGACGTTTCGGCAATTTAATCTTCTTCTGAGCCCGTAAAGACGAAAAATGGTTGATGTGCTCCAAATTTGGAGCAGTGCCTCCTTGCATGTGCTGGAATGAAGTTTTGGAGCATTAACAACCTCTTAGTTACTTGAGAATTTCTCGGTTTCTGCCAGTCAACAGCTGCGCTTGGCGGCCTGAAAGTTTGGCCTCCGGAAAAAATAGTTCTATTAGCAATTTTGTGTTCCACCACTGTAAAACTAGTGGTTCCAAAACTAATTCCACATAACCTCTGGCGGAAATCTCTTGGTCTCCTGGCCGTTCTTTGCCTTTCTGTTTGTAGACTTGAGCTCGAACCGCTTTTATCGTATTTTCCTAGTTTAGTTACCGAAATGCTTGGTTATGGTATCGATCATTCGGTCATGATTGGCTGGAACCGGCATAGAACTTATAGCTAGGATAACAGTAATCGTGCTCATTGAAAATGCGAAAGAAAAAGATACTACACCTGCTTTCGTAGCTATACAGTTATGCAACAGGTACATATGCTCAGTATTCTAAGGAGCCCTCCGCAGTTCGAATCTATTTTGAACGTTCCATCTGTACAAATAAAGCTGAATGTGTGTTTATCCGTCTGTATGTACATGTGTTGCGGACTGAAATTTTTATTTCCGAACCGATCGGACCAAACCTTGCGTAGCTCGCAGCATCTCTGTCGCTATCGCTTGCTAAGCATCTTATGATGTTTTTCCTTCTTATTTTTCATTTCAGACAGTTACTCGTCCCATTGTCTATGTTGAGCCATCGTCGCCGGCAAAGTCGAAAGAATGAATGAGCTTTCTTCCTAGTGGCAGTGTTGGATATCATAGCAATCCTGTACCTTACAAAAACGTCTCAGGTAATTGGAAGCTAACATTTGATAGCAGAAAAGCGTTTGAAAGGATAACTGACAAAGCTCAATGCAAAGGTCGCAAACTCACCGACTCTCGCGATCACGCCAATTACGAATACAATATTAGTTTTTGGAATTATCAATCACATTTATCGATTTTATCGATTTACATAGTTTGAGCTATGGAGCTGGGAACCCGCACAGGAGGTAAGTGGGCATGCTGATTACAAATACATTCTGGTTTTCAAATTTATCGACTACCTTTATAGTTTCTGCAAAGTATGAGCTGTGGGGCTGAGAACTTGGACAGGGGCCGGGGTAAGTGATCATGCTGATTGCGAAAACATGGGGATAGGGAACTGGCATACAAGTGGGCCGGGACAGAAGATGTTGTACAAAAATAGAAATGGTGATCTTTATCACAGAGTGTAGACAGGGCCGGGCGGAGCCGGGTATTCCAACTAGTCCTTTACAGTTTTCTGCTACATCTTCAATGACCACGGTTGGAAGTATTTCAGTCAGAAGCTCTCGAAGTGCTCTATACAATGGTATAGATTTGTTGGCCAAACCTTACTTATACAATTCCTTTTGGGCTTAGATCTCCCTGGCTTACCATTTACTGCTGGAACGACCCTTTTTTCAATCCGTGTAGTAAAATTTATGTCTTCAACTTTTCATCTAACTTCGAAAAAGCTTTCTGAGAGCTTTTGTCCGATACAGAAAGCCCTAGCTTCTCTTGCCTAGTGAACGCTAATTTTTAACTTAAAAATCAAACTTTTGGGGGGCTCTTACTGGGAAAAAATGTTTGTTTTATTCATTTAAATCAAGTATTAGGATCGATCAGGAGTGAGTCACAAGAAAGATCATCCGGTTGCCTCACTACGAACTGAATTATTACGAAAACGAGGGGCAGAAGTTTATTGTGAAAAAGTTTCATTACAATATGCGTTGGCCCTGATAACATGGAAAATATGGTCAAAACAATATTCATAACGCAGCATAAAACATGTACCTATCCAACCTGTGGAAGTGAGCGATCTAAGAATCTAAGAACGTCAACAAATTTGAATTACAAACATAAGTTAGTGTTGTGCAGGTCTAAAACAAAAAATTTCTCTCCTTTGCAGATCTCACTGTTTACTTTTTACGACTAGTGGGCCAACGTTGTCGCCAGTCTCTTGGTTGTGTTTCGTGTGCGCTCCGTCACAATAAGGGAACTAGAAGTAAATAATATTTGGACTTTTAATCAATAAAACTATAATAATAACTGATTTATGAGCGGCAATAAACAGAGCATAAAAATTTAGCGATAAAATTCTGTTGGACCTACTTTTTCGCTCTTCCAACAGCGACAAAAAACTTTCTTCTCTCCAATATCTTCCATATCTATAGTGTCCACAATCTGAATTGTCGGATGTCTTTCAAGAACAACGCTATTATCTGCTTACATATTGGTTTACGTCAAACAGTGAAGAAAATATTGATTTTATCAAATATAAAACTAACAAACTAGCAACTCTTTGAATTTAGCTTTTCAGCATCGTTCATGACAAATAAAAAAAATCATAAATTCGACGAGTATGACTTTTTCTAGGTATAGAACTAATCAATGATGTTGTATCTAAGTTTATTAATGTCTGTTTTAGGCCATTAAATGAGTAATGTAAGATTTCAGAACTCTCCCCAGCCTCTACTGAACTTCTGGTATGGTTTCAGAGTCAAGTTGAAGTTTACACAGCTGTAATGCTTTTTTGTAAGAATATTCAGCGAACATTCTGAATAAAAGTAAGAAAGACACATCATCTCATCATCACAGCAGATTACCAACTTAAGAAAACAGCGTGCTTGCAATGAAAAAACATTTAAAAGTATTTAGGCGTTTTCAGAATGCAGCGAGTCCACATCAACAAAGTGTTTGAGAAATTCTACATAATCTATACTAGTGATGGGTACAAAAAAGTTCAAGTATGCCAAAGACTGTCCTCTAAATAAGTTCGGAAATAAATGAAATGTTGCTATTTACTACCGTCTTATCTGAGCAAGATGAAACTCATGGAAATTAAGAGGCGAACTTGTAGTAATGAGAAAATGCATATAAGAAGCTTTCTTCAGGCAAAAATAAGAAAACTGTTGGATAAAAAAGCGCTAGGCTCAGCTAATAATGGTATAGGCTTCGAAAGCTGTCGTTTAGTTCTAATGCCCGAAGTAGGCCAGGTTCCGTAAATCTCGTGAAATGAAATAAACTTCCTCAATCAAAGTACTCCCTTTTTTCTTGTAAAGCAAAAAACTCCCTTATCATTTGAGATCCTGAAACCTTTTGAGACTTGCACGAACAACATTAATATCAATTGTCATTTCCTCGTTTTCTACAGCACTTAAGAGGAAACTAGTAAATTTAATCTTACTAATTCTTCTTAGAAACACTTTTCTTTATCGCAGCGCAGCTTCTGAAAAATTTGACAACCAACCTTATCATTTGCCAATTGATGCTTTGTGTTGATACGTGCTTTTGACATTGCATATTTGTAACCGATCTGAAAAGTAAACATTATTGATCGCTCCCTCAATAACAATCACAACGCCTCACTGGCAAAACAAAATGGGGAAAATCTTGGGTTGCAAATCGATAGATTTGGAAAGAAAAACCACTCACAAAGTATCCTATGGCTATTCCTCCTGCTACTATTCCTGCTGCATATAAGAGACCTTTTGTATTGTTACTAGTTGATTGATCTGAACGTGACAATCACTTACTTAACTGAAATTACTATCTGGTAAAAGCACCTACCCATCGCCGACGATACTCCTTGAGAAGGCAGAAGCTGAACCTGTGGATCAACAGGATTAGTTGCAGCTTGAGAAAGAAACGAAAAACCTTCCCAGGTCATTTTAAATGGAAGCGAATGCGTAAAAAATTCAATAACAAGCAGAATTCACTTCAATCAGCGGTTGTTGATTTAGCAGGAATATAGTTTTACACATACGATTGTACGCAGCAGACTGGCGATGACTTTCGCCACCATCAATGATGATAAAAGACTTTGGCGGCAATGAATAATACGCGTGAGAGATACGTGATGGTTATATAAGAATGCGCAATGTTTATCTTCAGAACTGGCTAAATAGAAGGAAGAAAAAGTCAATCATGAAGGAAGTAAATCAGCGCGAGGGCAAAAAATGATTTGGAGAAAGAAAGGAGAGGATCCTCATTACATATGAGATGTTAGATATAATTTTGACTTGATTCATTCATTTTGATACATGCAAAGAGCCAAGATACTTAGGAAATACCAGAGGATACCGGCTAGCCATTTATGTAGGAATTTGTCAGCAATGTATATAAAAAATCTCCATTAGAAAATCGCACAGTATGGGAGAGAAACACGAAAAACTTGCAAGGAAAGTGCAGTTTGGTATGACATCACGGCAAATGCCAAACGATATTTCCCTCCCTGTGCGCCGAAAGACTTGAAAAAAGAGTCATAAAAGTTCCGAGAGGCAATATCAATAAGACTGGAAATCGAGCGTAATCTGAAAAACACCAACAGAAGCGACCGATTTTGGCAAATTCAATACAAAGTGAGGATGGAGAGAAATCAGTTTCTCGTGGAAGTAACTCTAATGCTATACACAACGAAAAGTCATTCACCAAATATTGGGTGATCACTAAAAAATGGGACACCTAGAGATTGAATGTAGATTTCTCAAAAAAGAAAAATGATTAAACTTTCCAATTTTGATACCTATATAAGGTCATTTACGTAACTAATAAGTTTTATAGTGACTGAAATGCAAATTTAGTCACTTTGACAAATTATAAACTTCGAGCATTATCTGCGCAATGAAACATGCGAAACCATCCAAAGTACTACTGCTGCAATGCGTGAAGGTACAGTCACCAGACCCACGATGGGTTGCTGGCCTCAACTTTCAAATTCAGGCCATATATGACCATTAGCAGCTTTGAGAACAAAGATACATGCTATTCAATTCTTTGCAGGTGAATGCATGTTTTATAGGAACCATATGAAAGAGCTTTTTACGCTCTATCCATCCATATGCAGCTTGCCTCACATTTTATTTATCTTCGGAAAATACAGATTGAAACTTGATTTATTGGTTTTTGTTGCGCCAAAAAATCGCGATTTTTCAGGTATTTCGCTTTTTTACCCAGAAATAGAAGGAAATCCTGTATGTTTAATATATTGTTTGAAAGAGCATGAAGATCTCTTTCGAATGGTATATCAAATGCTCCATAACTTTGCGGTATGGTAGCGCAAGAATGAGCGAGGTTCAAAAAACCCTTCGAGTTCTTCAGGGCGCCACGCGTAGGGTTGTGGGAGAGGAGCGTTGACGTTTTGCCAGAATAATAGGCGAAGGTCGCTTATATGAGCGACGTTTACGTTGCAGCCTGCTTGTTGTTGATCGCAACAAAAAAACTCAAAATTTGACAAAAAAAATCAAGCTGTCCCATTTTTTAGTGATCACCCTGATATTTCAATTACATTACATATTTTAATGCACTCAGAGCGGGTCACTGAATTCGGGAGATAGATGGAGCACTTCACCGGCTCTTTACCAAGAAGGAAAGTCCTGGAATAAGATGTATGTATTAGGTTGTCCCGAAAGTTCTGTCGTTGTATATTTGAAAATTCATAACTCGGAGCTTTCCGAAAGGATTTATATCATCAGATTTTTATTTGAAAGAGTAAGTCTTTCGCTTTCGAATGCTGCTCTATTGAGCTTCTACTACGCACTGACTGCACACATAAAAATGGAGAAAAGAAGACCATATAAGCTTTGGTCATTTTAACTAAGGCCAAAAATCGGAAACGCCGCACAAAATACACACATTTCATGATCTAGTCTTTGCAATTGTGAAAAGTTTGTGCTGTTTGGACGTGTCCGTAAAAAGTTATGATTTCCGAGAAATGTGACAAATTAATTAATTTTGGCAATTTTCTAAAATGTAAAATGTTAGTTCGTATCTCCTCACAGAGACGTCCAAACAGTACAAACTTTTCACAGTTGCAAAGAGTAGGTCAAAAAACTATTGTTTTGACGATTACAGATATTTTTCTGCAGCTTTCTAGATTTTTGGCAACCTAAGTTAAAATGACTAAAGCTTATGTATATAATCTTCTATTTCTATTTTTATCTGTGCAGTAAGTGCGTAGCAGAAGCTCAACAGAACAGCATTCGAAAGCAAAGAAAATTTCTAATAAAATTTCAATGAAGTAAATCAGTTGAGATGCGCAAAATTATAATTTCTCAGAGATAAAACGACAGAACTTTCGGGGCAACCCAATATAAGCCCATAAAAATGATGGCTATGCTACACTAACCAAAAAAACGTAGAATTATTTCTTGCAATAAACTGAAGGCCGTTCTTTGATGTTGATGTATAAGCGTCGCTATAACGCAGCTTCAAATACACCTATAACTGCAATTAAAGAGTTCTAGAGGAATTTTTGACCATAATTTCGCCAGTCTTCAAGGGAAGCGAATGAGAAAAGTATATCAAAACTGAGAACTTGTCTTTCGAAATTACGCTTCATAGCGAGCGTTATTTCGTCAAAGTGCATGCACACCAGCCAAAGAAAATTTAGGATTGCTGACGTCTGCCACATCTCACTTTTTGCAGCTGGAATGTCAAATCGCAGCAGCTATTTCACTGGAAGCAGGGCTCAGCACAGCTGGCACCGGGTCAAGCTGGATATCGTTTTTTGCGCGGAAAGCAAAGGGGATATCGTTTCTGCAGGGGCCGAGGCGGAGAACTGCCGCAAAAATACCGCCGGCATGCCACCGGCATGCCATTGGCAAGCTGTCCATCAACAAACAAAGGCGTTGTTTTCAGCCAAAACGCAATAGTATGACACCAAATTTGGTGTGTGCATACGCGTTGGTGGACCGGAACTACGAGCCAAAAATTTATGAAAACTTATGTGAATGAAAGCTGTGCCCAACTTTTTTCTGAATTAGCTGGCACCGTGCCAGCTGGGTGCCAGCTGAGCTGGCACCGACACTTTGCTCACATAAGTTTTCATACTTTTTTACATAAAATGTATCTACACTGTAAAAGATTACATACGGAGAAGAAACGGTTTCATAATGTTCTCTTTTCAGCGTTTTATAGCAATTTGAAAACCACTCGGTCCGCTCCGCCGTCGAAAAATCGGCTTTTTCTGCTTCTCAAGATGTGATTCGACCACTTAAAAAGCTCAGAAAGCTGTGAAAAGTTCTTTCATGAAATCAGAAATGCGTGAAAACACTACTATATTTTTTTACACAATATAAAAATGATGACGGGTTTTCAAAACAGGTCAAAAGGGACTTCGTACGAAATTTTCAATATCAAACGGGACTTCGTTTTGAACAGGGCCCGGCACAGATCGTCTGGGAGCAGGCTGGACTTCGTTTTTAGAGCAAAAAGCAAAGGAGACATCGTTTTTGACGAATCGTTGCCGAACATTAAGATTAAGCGTTATTTAGTCGAATACAAGCTTTTTGGACAGGTTACCACACGATTGACATGCTCAATCGTGTATGGCGAAAAGTGCGCGCGATTTGAAAGCAAGGCTAAAATAAACAAATTGCATGTTTACAGCGCACACAGAATCGTTTGACACCAAAATTGAACTGTAAGCATAGAAAATTATTTGAGGAAGAATTATGTAAAAAGTATTCGAAACTTATGTGAAGGAATACCTTTTCCAAATTCAGATCGTCTCCAGACGGCCACCAGACGACCTGAGATCGTCTGGAGCATATATTTCTGTCACTTCACATAAGTTTCGAATTTTTCTGTCATGGACGGATTCCCCGGTCAAAAGTCTATACCTGAGCCTGAAGACATTTTCATAGCATTGCCTTTCCTTTGTTTTTTGCCTTAATTTCTTCATGAATTACTTTGTTATATCGCGCTCCAATGCCAAACTCTTGCGCATGTAGTATTCAGCTCCAATCTGGATTTTCACACTTATTTCACGTTTTTTCTTTCAGATTAGTAAACCTCTCTCGTTTTCATATTCTTCTAAGGTCAAAGAGGACTTCGTAAATTTTCTGAAAGTTAGGGTAGACTTCGTTTTCAGAAACCCTAGAAACCGACTCATGCCGGGCCCTGGTTTTGAAATTTCCCTGGTGCCAGCTCGCGCCGAGCCCTGACTGGAAGCATACACTTGAAAAAAAAAAGAGTGACGCTATAGAGAAAAAAGGACGTGATCGTAAGTCCCATTATATAGCGAGTCAATGTGCGTGTCGACCCAACAAAATCAGGTTTTTTCGTTGCAATTCATGGAAGCGTTGAAGCGCGCAAGTACGTAACACGGATTCTTTTCATTGAAAAGCAAAAGGATTTGTCAAAATTCGTCGTGAAAAGTTCATGTACGGACAGAGCAACAAAGTTCGATGAACAAACGGTATTACACAAAACCAGAAACATCGAACAAAAACCCTAAGATTTCATCGTAATAAGACGTCATCCATTTTTTTTTTCGAAAGCTCATTAACACGCTTTTCAGGTGACCAAAGCAAAGGAGAAGGAAGGCGAAAATCCAACGTTGAATTGAAAAAAAGAACTCAAGCACGGAAAAAGGCACTAACCGCAGCTTTTTTGATGGATTTATTCTTGAACAAAGCCAATCATGAAAAACACCTATGAGTCAATTTCCGTTTTAACTTGACAAAAATAGATGGAATTAACCAAGTCTGAACTATTGTGGCTAGAAGAATGGTTATGATACTGAAAGCGAAGACCATGGAGCAACAAAAATGGCTTTTAGCAAATTCGGGCCTTAAGTCAGAAAACCAATCAAATTTGAAATGGAATCCCTTCAGTGAGCAAGCGGGTGCGCACATGCTCTATACCGCAACTTAAAAGATAAGAACTATTCTAGATGAAAGTTGAACGAGTGTAAATAGATACCGACACAACTCCGAAGCACACAGAGGAAATATAAAAAAAAACTAACGACGCAGCGACAAGCAGTGATTTGAAAAAATATCTTAGCGCCTACAAACGATGACTTTACATTCACACACATAAAATTACGCAAAAACCATGATGCAAGTTTCACAAAAAACAGAGAAGAGGAACAACGATGAACATAACTGCCTAGAACACAATCAATTTCTAGGAGTAGGCAAGCGCGAGACACGCATTTTATAGGCTGTTTACAGATGGGAAGAAGATAAGAAGTCAGAAAGGTAAGTACAAGTGAAAGCGAGGGCGCAAAGAAAAAACTTTCAGAAAATTTCTCACACAAAAGAAGCGGTAGAAGCGTGTCCAAAGTATGCTGTGTTTGTTCTCATAATATAAAGAATCTGGAAAATAAAAGAAGAGAATCGCTGAAAAAAAGCTGAGATTCTTATAGACAAAGGATGCAGTGTAAGCTGAAATATGGCGATATTATTACACCGATCACACTTGAGTGATCAATCCTCTCTTTTTATTGACAGTGAAAATCAATTTCTGATGATAAAAAAGAATGATCGACAGCATCCTTGTCTAAACAGTAGAAATGACCGAAGCCGTGCTCCGTCTGAACACATTTATTACAACTGCCCTAGCACTGACAAACTTTGAAAGAGATGAGATAGGCCGCCGTCAAATGTGATATTTCATCTTTTTGAAGTGGACTAAAAATCGATTAGTAGAACATTCAGTGAAAAACACATCAACTAGGTAAAAGTGCAGCCTCAGTAATGCCGTCCTATCGATTGTACATCTGGCGAAAATAGATTGAGAAGCCGAAAATGATGTTTGGAATGGGCCAAAAGTGAGAAGAAATGTAACACTGATCCTTGAATTCAAAAAAAAAATTTTTTTTTACTTCAAAGTCTGCATTTAAGATCAAACAAAAGATTAAATAAACATTAAAAAAGAAACTGTAATCATGCGGAGAAAAGAAAAGCGTTTAAGTTGTAACCATATTTATCAACCTTCAATGCTCCTGTACGTAAAACTAGAGTGAAGTAGCACCCACTTCTTTTAAGAAAGTGCTGTATCAAGAAACTGAATTAAAATATGGAAGAGTGAAAATACAAAATATGCCCAACTTCCGTTTTGATAGATTTTTGGTAGAAAGTCAAAAGACAGACAGATTTTTGCTAATGAAAAGAAAAAAAGGACCGCTATCGACATGAGCTCTGAAAGAAGACATTGCAACTCGCAGAAACACCACAACAGCCTTTTTCCAGAACTTTTTTTTATAAAATAAGATTTATATGTATTCTGCATGATCGATATGCGGACATTGCACTCAAGACGTGCGATGAGATACGCTACCGTGCTCGACTATTTGCAAAAGAACGAATGACTCAGCGATGTGGGAAAGAATGCGCACGAAGGCCGCGAAGATTCATCATTACGAAATTTGATACTTTCATGCAAGAAAATGGAAGAAAAAAAGGACGAGCGAGCAGTGTGCAGTTTCCTATTACGAAACATGAGTAAGCGCTGATTTTACAGCTATTCACTGAGCAAACAGACAGAACAAAAAGATGAGCCTTTATCAAGAGTTGATATTTCTCATCAAATCAGTCTATGGCAAAAAAAAGCTCTAACAATCTCGGGAGACAATCCCGTTGATGCTAGCACTACATAGCCTACCTAACATCACTCGATATGTCTAGTATTTGACAAAAATTATATATAACATCACTAGAAGTGAACTAGGCACACACTCAGCAACAATTAACAATAGCCTGGAGATGCTTATTACATTTAGAACAATCGCGAGGTTCATATAAACGGAAGGATACCAACGGCAGGTGATCTACAACGTCGGGTTAGTGGCGACACCGAGAGGTATGTACTTACATAAATAAAAATGCCAAAAAATGTATGTATTAATCTCAGGAACACTATCAATAGGAATAATCAGCTATCTTAAGACGACTTCGCTGATGAATACCCCAAAACAAATTTGAACAGCTCGTATACGGACCATGACAGAGCTGTAGCTGGCATCTATAAAAAAATCAATGGCTCCCATTATGGCTGCACCTTTCAAATATGTCAAGTAGAACGCTTGTAATTGCACTCACTTGGAAAACGACTCGTGCTTGCATTCCACAAGCAAAGCCACCCAAGCCTCTTTGCTGGTAAATTATTCGCACGGCATCTGGTATACCTCGGTATGTGCCAGTGGACTAAAAGGTTATCTACATTAAAAGAGAAAATACAAAAGGAAAAGAGAAATTCCAAGACAAAAATCGTTTCAGCTGGATCTGGCTATTTATTAAAACCGGATACCGACCCCCATGAAAGAGGCAATTTTAGGTTTTATAAAATCATTCGAATCTCTTCCATCCAATGACTGCATAAAAATTGCCGAAAAAGATTATTCAATCAAATTCGTTAGAAGCCATAGAAAATCTATAGAGCGGGGGCAGCACTGAAAGCAATAACCCTGACCACAAGCTATAACTAGAGTTGCGTGTCGTTACCACTAGTGCGTGATTCTACTAAGCATAATCAATCCCAAGAGGAAAAAAAAACTCGAAAAAGCGTGCACAGTTTGAAGATGAAGCAGATTATGAAATGAGAAAAAAAGATGTTCGTGATAAAACACCGTTCCCCAAAGTTATGCAAAAGATCTCTTACGCCTACCAAACATAAACGCGGACACTTTTATGTATGATGAAAAAATGGCATACATACCTTGAGTACAACGCTGCCTTCTTTTTCACAAAACTCAGGCGTTTGCTGCGTATTCAGCACAGTTTTTACGCAGTCTAATGGCGTAGTTACCGCGGCTGCAAGACCACCTGCCAATCCTCCAGACACCAAATGCGAAACGGGATCGTATTTGTGTTCGCGGTTGAGAATCTAATAAATCAAACTTGACAATAAACGAAACGATTCTTCAAAATGACCTATCCAAACCTGTTGCCAGAACTCATATGTCATAAAATGAACAGTTTGATATGGCACACCCATTAGTAACTGTGTGCTGTAGGATCGATAGAAGGCACCGATTCCTTCACGTAAGTATATACATCGAACACATTCTAACGAAGAACCATATGGTGAGAATTGCATTTGCATCCGTTGCTTCACTACCTTGAATAAAAAAATACTATTGCCTCACTATGCAGAATGAGAAATTGAAAAAAATGTGTTTCAATTAAAAAAGTTACAACCTCAGCGGGATTCATGACAGCGTCGTGGACGAGCGTTGCTAGTATTCCAGATGCACCATAGGCTAACGTATTAGCATGACCAGCGGTATTTCCAGTAAGATATGCCTAAATCATGAGAATCATAATTCAGTGCTTGGTCGTACTATCACTTACTTTCGTCTTCTCATAAATGGTGAAATAGAGGGCATGTGCTGGTAAAGAACCAGCAGCTATGGCATTCACTCCTCGTAACGGCCGTAGCCATCCTTCTCTAGAATTGGAGTTTTATACTAAGCTTGAATAACGAATTATTTACGATGATTACGTCTTGTGTGAGAACTCTTATAGTGTGTAAGTTATGAAGACTGCGATGGGGATAGTAGGTGGTAGAGTTACTGCTTAAGTTTGACTACTTTATTCCTCGAAACCGATTTGCAACGTAATGATATAAGCAATTTGACTCCGAAAACAGCTTTTATCATTACATCATCGAAAAAAATTCACATGGATGTACTATGATGTCATACTCTATGTGCATACGATGCTAGAATTGACCAAAAAATGCTTGAAGAATGAACAGTGGATGGAAATGGACGGCGCAGGCGCAAGGTAAAAACATGTCGTAATTTGCTTCACGACACGTGTAAATTTTCGAGTACCCCAGAATGTCACGTACATATCCCAAACCTAAAAAAGCTGACGCCGATAACGCAAAATGTTTATGTACTTGGTGAATGTGTCTACCCGTAGTGGGATGCAAAATACTCATCACTTACACTGAAGCTTCCCAAGTTATGAAAGCTATTAACAGAAAAATGCATTCTTGGGTAACTGTAGCCATCCACACGCGTTAATCAAGTTGCCTGATTTACACTACGCAATCAAACATCACTTCAAGCTAAATAAAACTACCTTCAGCAATCTGAACTCAAAAATCTGGAAATTTAGCATTTTTGGCAAATTTCGCCCTTACTACTCCTCGCAAAGAAGTGTTGGGAGCAGAGGTTACGAATGTAAGGTACGCTGTCTGCATATTTCGAAATATAGCTCGTAATAAAATCGAAAAAAAAACATCCGACACACCTCCGCACTATATTCCATAATGAATGCATAGGTGTAGGACATCTAGTTTCAGGACATGGACATAAGCTTTGTATCCGAGTTTTCACACTATCAAAAGGGAACATTACGCAGTGTTCCACAGCTCCGGCTAGTGCACCTGCCGCAAGGTGAACCTTAATACGGTACTAGTGATAATATGTTCAAAAACGGGTCAAATTTAGTCAACTTACCCCTACACTATGCGTGGGCAAAGTTTCATATTCCTCTTCACCCATGCTAGAAAGATTCAAAAATTGAGAGAGTACTTAGTTTGAGTGAGAAAACAACTGCAGTGGACGGTCGAGCGATAGATATGGGAAACAACCCTAGTTCAATGAAAAAAAAATTGTCTCAAAAGATTTATTCAGAACAGAGCAGTGTTAACAGCATAGTACAAGCAGTGTAATAAAAACAAATCAACAAATCAAATTTGCCAAATCTAAACAGTATAGGAGATTATCACCATTCTGGATCAGGTTTCCTCCGGAAAACAGCTGGGAACTTTTCTCCCTCGTTTCTTGTCACCTTTTGTCCTTCTTCAGTACTATAAAAATATCAAACAAACTGCTATCTTCTTCAATTAGATTCTAGATTTTCATGAATTGAGCAAAACATAGATGTAATCCCTTCAAAGCTAATCGAGCAAATATCGCGTAAGATAAAAAGGGCTTCGTAGGTACTGAAAGTACAAACGTTCAGCGTAACAATAATATGAAGATAGGCTTACCTCTCAAACAGGAAAGGCACAACTGGGTCAGCCTCTTCTTCCTCCTTTGTGAGACGCTCAAATAAGGGATGCTCGGAGAGATGTTTTACCATCCATTCGTGCAATTCTTTCACATCTGTGATTGTGTACATCAAGCCTGAAATGAGACAATGTTCACGGAAAGATGAATCAGGCAAAAAAACAAGAATGCGATCAACTTTTTATTGATTTCGTTGGACTCAGTGGTACTTTGATAAGATTACAATTTACTACACCCACAAAGCAATTAGCACAAGAAAGTTATGGCCAGGTCACAATATAATATTTGTTGATTATTTGATTTGAATGAATTCAAGACAAGTGTTCAATGTTGTTTTTAGCGTGAAAGTGTCATGAAAAATGGAGTATTGTGTAACGAAAAGAAATTGCAGCAGATGTTGGAACTTCGAGTCGATAATTTCTATGCAATGCGTTCTGCTGTGAAATTCGTTCGATGCATGGTCATACGAAACAGCGGTGGACTGATCTCTGAACTAATAGTGCGCAGACGAGAATTCACTAAGCACGTGCCCTAGCCGTGATCTTCCTGATGGAAAAACTGGCTGAGGTTTCAGTACAATCATGGGAAACTGATCTCTTCAAAGGGTGTTTAGGAAAAAAGGAAAAGACAGACAAAATATGCTAGATTTGAGTAACAAGGGCTTCACCACAAAATAAAAAGCTGTTCTTCCTTGCTGGTCGTGGAAACGGAATGTTTCGAAATAAGATTCAGTCAATAACAATGCTAACTTTCAACTAAAAAATAATCTAGGACTTTGAGGAAGTGCCAGTGGGAAGTGCCAAATGAAAATCATGCGGAAATGGCTATCAATTTTCAGATGATTACAACGCGCGGAGATAAGGATACTAGTTTCAAGCCAACGTGAGAGAAGATAGAGGGTTGCAATTCAACCGGTTGCGAAAGAAATTGCGCTACCAGATTTCAGCCTCCATAATACAGATTTTTGTCTTAGGATCGAAGTAAGAAGAGATGGTGCAATTCGCACAGCTTGCAGAACGCAGAATTAGATGGTAAACACGAAGATAAAATAAAGCACAAAAAGACGTTGCAAGGGCGTATGATTCACAATGACAGCTCATTTTCAGTGAGACATTTCTAACTGCAAACACAAAATGTTTGTCTCAGAGACATAGAAATTTTTGCATCTCGTGCAGAGATAAATGATAACGGTGTTCAGATGCGAGTAACGTGGCATTCAGACTTGTAAAAAAATAATCTCAGCAACGAGGCAGGCTTTAAGCGAATCAATGTAGCAGATAAAAAGAGCTACGTGCAGTAGTTGGTGGAAAGGAAAAAAAACTGATGAATTGAGAGATCATTTTTTACTGCTGTGAGCAGATAAAACGACAGCAAACGATGGCAAGATAATACAGCTGTGCAAATATGAGCGAGTTACTTATTGTTAGTAGTGAAAGAAGTAGGACCATATCTCCATTCAAATCCACTGAAAAGATACCCAGAATCAAAATAAGGAAAGTGGCCTTTTTTGACGACGGCCGGGTACCAACAGATTGGCAGACCAAGAAGATAACAGTGATATACAGCATACTTTTTACTTGCGAACCAATTTTTCTCTCGACCGAAATTTACCAAATATGATTTTTCTCGAATACCAGATGTAACAAACCTCCGGGACGTAGAACATAGGCGTATTCCGCAAGCAGTCCAGGTGTTATGATTCGCCATTTGTGCTTCTTATTCTTGAAGTGTGGATCAGGAAACAAAAAGAAGATCTTCGAAAGTTGATGTTTGTGGAAGTAATTCGGCAGATACTTCATAGCATTAGATCTGAGACATGCTACATTGCGATAGCCATTAGTTTCTGCCTCACGTATTCGCAAAGCTTTTATCTTTTCTTGCACGAAATCTGAAACCTGCACAGCAATTTCAAAGCTACCACAAATGATGAATTATAGAAACAACCTTTACGCGGATCTCAAGGCCAACCATTAGAACTTCCGGAAACATGGGAGACAGCTTCATAAGCAAACCGCCATAACCGCAACCAACATCAGCAAATTCCACTTGCCTTCCTTCGGCATAGTCCCCGTATAATTTCTTCCAGTCCATGCTAGACAGAATAGAGTTAATACAGTCCAAATTTCCCAAAAATTTAAGGAAGAGCTTACTCAGCAGGGGTCCGCGGATAGTCGATGTCATGGTCCGAATGCGGATTCGAATGTGCTCGCTGCCTTAATTGCACGTGAAATCAAGATTATTTGATCAGCTATGAATGAAGCGCAGTCTCTCCCCCAAGACTTCCAACCACAAATGATCTGGTCATTAGATGGTGTAATGACTTAAAATCACCGCTCGAAATGCAATTTGAAACGTTGAGCCAAGTTGTGCCGCATTTGAAGAGACCACAGGAGTGTTTTTCCAGACCCAGGAGCAAAACATTCGCAGAAGTCAGGAAATTCGGAAGGTTCGATTTCGAGGAGTGAATTTTGTTTCTCCATACTCAATCACACATAACCACTCACTAACGTTAGTTCTTCGCACCAAAAGAGTAGTACCTGTAAAATTTCTTTTGGGGTAACTCTGGAACCGCCACTGCTTCGCAGTCGCCAGGTTCTGGTACCCGTTGATCCACCTCCATTCCTTCTGCAACTTTTCTCCATAGAAATGAAAGGTATGCAGATCAGAATGTATAGATACTAAAAAGGCAGAAACCGAGCACTTGATATATGAGATACCCGATAATTTATTTCAAAAGTAGAATGATTCAGCAATGACATGCACAACAAGAAAAATACCAGTAAGCAAAATGATACCCAATTACAGATAAACCCTAAAGGCGCCTTCATACCGCGCCGGCAGCCGCCTTTCAGCACTATTCTATTTCCGGATCCCAACATCGAAACCACAAATCTTGCTTTTGGTTTAGTGAGGTTATCCGCATGTTTATAACAAATAGCAGATCTTTTAACTTTTTCGAAAAACCTTAGAATACTGCAATAGTGTGCAAAAGCGGCTACAGGCGGCTAATGGCGGCTGCAGGCGCGGTATGAAAGCACCCTAATTTGGTAAAGTGACCCAAATGATATTTTTGACAAAAAAAAGAGATTATTTGTACATGACGTAAGAGGACACAAAAATACGAAGATCACATCATCTTGACCCATTGCTTCTGCCCAGGACAACGCATGATGATGTTTCCATGCGCATCATGCCTCACTGGCGGCACAAACGGTTTCTTCACGTCTGATTTCAGGCTAGAATGAATGTTTAAACAGATAGGCTAAGGAATATAGATGTTAGAGATGTTTCACCTCTCCGTAAGCCTCCTTAGTGTTGACGCTGATGGATAGAAGATCTCCTCTGGATCAAGATCATACCAACAAAATTCTTCAGGCTGAAAATAAAAGGTTTCAATAATCGGATGAGTATGGAAAAAACAGATTTGTTTGCAAATGAGAAAGTAGCGGCTAATCATATCCAAGAAGGAACTTTTCTGAATGGTCACTATTACTGTGAAGCTGGTGTAGAGCACATCACGAAGCCGATCCTTGTTTAGATCTCAAAGTACGCACGAACTTCAGTATTATCGCTAGCCTCACTTTTGTGAAAAAGGCGAACGGAACCTACGCATTGTTTTGGCTGGGTTATACTGACCGGAATTCCAGGAGAGTTCCAGCACAGCTGTCGAATGGTGCCGAGACTGCGCCGCAGCCGCCCACATTCGGTTTTGGGCGGCGGGAGTTAGGGATTTCCGTTTTCGACAGCTTTTCCCTCCTCAGACATTCGCAGTTAAGTCCCGCCGGTGAAAAAGTTGTGTCCCACCGGAATGACTGCGGGACACAGGTAAAATGCTTCGCGAGAAAACCGGGACTCCTGCATGTTCGGAATAATACTGCGCGACACGCGCTTTTGTCCCGAAGTGTTTTCTACTGAGAAAACCGGGAGCTTCTGCGGGAGTCCCGATAATGACGCGGTCCAATCACCGGCGGGATTCCCACTCATATACAAAGGTCGATTGGGGCCACCGTACAGCGGCTTCGGAGACCAACTCCGGGTTCGGGGTTGAATAACGCCAAGATCCTAACAGAGGTTGTTCGATAGACAACATATTGACACTGTTCTTGCCTGTAAGACTGGAAACCCCTCCAAAGTTTGTGGACAGGTTTGAGGGTAGTCTAACCATGCGTCGTATTTCACGCAAGTACCCTTTACGCTCAGACACTGGGAGCGCGCCCCGAAATCGCGACTCCCTATAATCTCCCGCTTCAATTTTTCTGTCGGGATAATCCCGAAAGTCGGGACAAAGCCGGGTGTCGCGCAAGAGTCTCGATTTTCTCGGATTTCTCATTTTGTGGGCGGATCTTCCTGCGGGACTAAACCGCGGATGTCTGAGTCAGATTTCACTCATTTCGGTCTCAGTCACCCACTCCGTTTCCTCTTCTGATGGAAAGAGTCTTCTTAAAGCGGAGCTGGAGAATGAGAGCAGTTCTGCTTCCATGTATGCGGGAAGATTTGTCTTCGTGCGCTCTTCCATTCTCGTCTCGTTTTTTGTTCATACCTACTTCATGTGTTCTGGGAAGCCGCTGCGTAGTTCCGCTTCCGTAGTGAAAGAGGCATAGAAGCTTTCTAGAACACATGGTCTGAACAAAAGTAAACAGGAGAGAATGGACGAGCGCACGAAGCGCCCCATTTTCGCAGATACATGGAGCAAAACAACAGCGTTTACTCATCAACCTCGCTCTAATCGAGGTCTTTCCATCAAAAGAAGAAGCAGTGTGGGGAAATGACAATGAAATGAGTAAAATCCGAAAACCCGTTGAAAATGGTCGAAAACCTCCAACTCCGGCCGCTCAGAACGAGCGGCTGCGACGCATGCAGCACAGCTCCGGCACAGTTCGAGCACTGTGCTGGAACTGCTTCGGAACTTTCGGATATGAAACTAGCCATTTCGTGCAATATGGCTCATAATTGTGATCTATCCGATAGGAAAAAGCAAATGAATAAAAAAGAGTGAACACAATGAAAATAATGCATTACCTTCCCATTCGGATTGATTATCGTTCCCTCTTGCAAATCTGTGAGTTTTATGGTTGCAAGACAATCTCTGTTCGTGCATTCCATGATATTTTTACCGTCTAAGCGCCCAATATTGACTACACGAATGCGTTTGCAGCAGCAATGCTGACAAGACACAGCCAGATGGGCGAGGGCGCTGACTGGAGGGATGTGTGTACGAGGCTGCTGAAAGAGTAATATTTCGAAAACGAAATTTCAAACAGGCAAGTCCGAAATTTTGAATTTTTCTCCACCTGTACGATTAAAAGAATAGATCACTGGAAATGCTGACTGACTCCGCCGAAAGAAAAGGGATACAAAAAGAAAGAAAAAAGAAGTGAAACTCACAGAGGAAGAACTTTTTGATTTTGACTTTCTATTCTTTGAGTTATGCTCTCCAGTAGCAATCGGCTTGTTGAGGGTTGGCGTCATTGGAGAAGGCGATTTGGGCGTCAGAAGTTCAAGCAGAAGGCGCTCTGTAAATGGCTGCTCTTTAGATCTTTGATTCGACAGCGTTGTGATGCGGCAGCACTGGGTACGTGAAAGTGGCGCTACTATAATTGAAAATGCACTATATAGGATCAGCTGATGGGACGGTGAAAGCCGAGTATAAAAGACAAGTGAAAGTGCTTTAGTACAATCTCTCGAACAAAACACGATGGTTGACGCGGAGCTCGATTATTTTGGGAAATGGAAGGTTCCACTACCCTTTTCCCGTTATTTTTAAAGTGAGGAGAAATCAGGGAAGCGGAGGCTATTATAGTACTGCTCTGACCTTTTATCATATAATCATGCCCTACGGTCATCGCACATAGAGGTTAGGTAGGTGGAGTAGTTCGCAGATTTTATACTCAAGAAGTCGGAGATTGTTCATGGAAGCAGTCTGAGATATATTTGTGCCACTATCTACATGCAGGGATACTAAAATCTTTTCATAGTATCATCACAGTGTTCCCAAACGTAAGCACCCACTTTTTAATCGCCAACTCTTCCACAAAAGGTCTTTTGCTTATCTTCAAGTACCATTTAGTAGAGCAGACTTCAATCAAAGCTACTAAATGGAACGAGAACCCATCCCTTTACCTTACTGTAAGATTACGGTAGGCACTTCCAGCATACCGCGCCATTATGAAATAGGCCATTTAAAAAAAATTCCAAAAATCTGGAAAGTTGTGTAGAGGTGTTTTCAGACATGATGATATCGCGTAATAACATTTTATGAGTTTTTCAAACGTCTGATCTGCAAAAAAAATTTAATGGTAAAGTGCAAATTTTATATTCCTAGTCAGCGACTTAGTTTAGCCTAATGAAAGAGTGTTCAGCTTGTTAAGTATCCATTCTGGGGCAAAATGTAGCCATAATGGCTCAAAATTCTCTTCAGAGTTCCCTACCTAATCCTACAGTAATGAAGAGAGCTGGGTAGTTCACTCTGTAAACTGAGGGACCGGCCATACTTTGCCGAAAAAAGCCCGAAAAAGCCCAAAAAGCTCGAAAAAGCCCGAAAGCGCCAGAAAGAGCCGGGATGCAGAAACGAACTTTTGTTAGAATTCTGACAATTTGATATACAGACGGCAGAAAATGAACCAAAAAGACTCGGTTGCGAAAGCAACACACATGCCCTAACGCCTCCGCTTGTGTTGCGAAAGGGCAAAACATAAGTTCTGCCGTAGTCTGTCGGACACAAAACTACTCTTTCTGGCGCTATTGGGCTTTTTCGGGCTTTCTGGGCGCTTTTGGAGTTTTTCGGCAAAGTATGACGGGTCCCTAAGTCTATGTTGAGGCATGCCCTAATGAATAGTGTTTAGAGCAAAGCAAAAGACTTTGTGGGAAGAGAGTTATTACCGATTGAAAAGTGTGTACTTACTTGTGGACACCCAGTATATGATATTACTATGGAATGTCGTCAAAATCGTCGAATTACGTGTCCACTAGGCCTCGATTCATTCGCTTTTGAAGGAGACTGACCCAAATGAGACATTTTGAAATCAGAATAATTCGGATTTGGGAAAAATCCCTTATTGTTCCAAGGTTCAAATGTGGTCTTATTTGATGCTTTTATAGTCAAAATTCTGTTGTGATTCTGCGTGATTTGTCAGGTTGTTGGACGATACATTAGCTTAAAACTCAAGAGATACTACAAAGCTATTACCTGTCCCTTTTCAAAAGCGACGATTCTCTACAGTATAGCCTATCACAAGATTAAGATTAAGATTATAGTACAATATTTGTATTAACTGGAAACAGGTGAACTCTAAGCATCTGTTTGAGAGAGTTTTGTGTCTCTAATCTTTTATCACTATTCAAACACCCTATAATCCTCGAATTGAACTCGTCTCTTTGCTTTGACGTTGTCGGTGCCATATATGGCATAATCCCAATGTTTCGAAGCTTTGAGAAATTTGTTTTTCATTCATTCGATGGTGCGCAAGAAAGTCCGAGATCTGCGGCTCTGCTCGTGTCTTCTGCCAGACCTCAGTCAACTTTTGCTTGACTAATTCAGAGACTTGCTACATACCTGCACTTTTCCGACCTGCTTTCCCGACACCGGTGACTTCCTTTTGACCAAGTTTGCGACCAATACGAAAGGAGCCTTTCGCATGCGCCAAACGTGTGAGCAGCCATACCTGAGGGCAATTGATCGTCACAGAGGCGAGCGGCGCTTCCGAACCCAGTTGAAACAACAAAGGCTCGGACATATCCTGGAATTATCACTATTAATAATCATTTCTAAGGCATGAACAAAACGCAATATTAGAGGAGGTAACGAGAAAAACCAGTTCTTACCCTCTGTAGTGACACCGTTTCGAGCGTCAAATCCCGCGTTACCGCTTCTGGGCACCGCGTTCGCTAACATGTAGTCTGATCCTCAATTGAGCAGGGAAAAAGCTCAGAGGTGAGTTCCAACAGATTAGGTGTGGGAAAGTGGTCCGAAAACAGTTCGCAAACGAGGTGCAGAGCGAGGCGGTCGCGCGGAATCTGAGCCGCTCGAGACGGCGTCGCTGCCAGTGAGACAGAGGGTATAGGTTGTGTCGCTCTTCTTATTGGTATCACCGCAGCGCACACGCAAGTGCGTGTCTGAGTCGCTTTCTACGTTAGCGAGATTTATCATCCATTGCAGTAATCCTCTGAACTCTTTGTATTTAAGGTCGTTAGTCTATGATAAGTCGGATTCTCTATTTTTCGCGTTTCAAATGGAAACTACTAAAAATAACAGTAACATACAACACAAAGACAGAAAACATCTTGTTCTTTCTTTCCTATCCTACTGCTTCTCGAGTTACAGTTCACGGCATACAAAAATGCAGAGGCACTGACATTTTCGCAACATTACCGACATCTTCGCATTCTTTCTGCGATAGGGAGATTCGCCATTAATGTCGCTTTCAAAAACTACTGGTCCTTACACGGTACAGTCGAGTAGATTTAGCGGTAAATATAGTGTGCTTGCACAGAAGGTGAAATGCGGTGAAATTTGCGCGTGAACAAGTAGCCACGTCAGTACCGCGGGTATCTTGCGCGCGCAATTGGCCGGCGTCACAGTCGAAACTATTTCTTCACGCGCCAATTTTACCGCATTTCACCTTCTGTGCAAGCACACTATATTTACCGCTAAATCTACTCGACTGTATGTGATAACAACCAATAAGCACATATAGTTTGTGTCTGAGATTCTTCCCAAGCTGCCCGAAACGATCCTAATGCAAAAATCTAAAGGCTCGAATGCTTCAAAAAGAGGCTTCAAAAGCGACGCAAAGGCGCGAGTGGCATGCAGAGCATATCTATCCCAAGCCCAGAAATTCCACTCGTGCGTAGGTATGGTCGACTGCAGAAATAGCCCATATGCTGAACCCGCTGAGCGTATTTGGCGCGCTGCAAACCAGTGGCCTGTGGGCTCATGCTCTCGGCAACCGCACGTCCACGCTCGCAGACGTTCAGTCTACACCGATATGGGCGATTTGCAGTCGACTTTAGGTAGGCGCGAGATTTATCCAGTTCAATCGGTTCATGCGGTTCACTCCTTCGCTATTGGTCAAATCACTAAATTGACCAATAGTGAACGAATAATCGGGACGAACCGGATAAGTCTGGCACCTGTCTTACTCTGCAACCGCCTAAAGACGGTGTCCAGGCAGAATTGGAGGCACCTCAAATCCAACAGGCATCGAACAGATAATGAAGCGGGTCCCGCTTGCAATCCATAGCCCAAGTGCGGCTGCAAAATATTTCTGCTGAAAGGAGAGTCTCGAACATGACCGCTCTTCGATCAGCCTCGTCCTTACCGGAGTAGGAAAGCGGACCCATCGCCCCAGTCATGACAGCGTCGCAACAATGTGTCCTTACACGATTTTCTGACGGGACTAGATCGAGGGCGCTGCGAACTTCTGGAGAGTTTCCGGTTCCAGAAGCAATATCTTGCGGTCGCAATCGAGCTATGGCTTGCATGTGGAGCACGCATTAGTACGTCCAAATCCGCCCAAACCCGCCCAAATACGTCCGAACCCGCCTGAACTGCCAAAGCGCAGCAGATTGCATGCAAATTGGCATATTGGAGCACGCGTGCGATTGATCCTTCTAATATCGGAGTAGTTGCAAAAGAAGATCGGTATGTAACGTCGAGCTACGTGTGACTAACAAGGGAACGATCCCAACTTAAAGGCAGCGTCCGGGCAAAAAGTCGATTTTGAGATTTTGTGCTTACCCGGGCCTATTCGCTATGCTGAATCCGAAAATCACCACTAGAGAGCGCGAAAACGGCGAAAAAGGGGTCTAACGCAGGAGGAAAATCAGCAGGGGGCGGAGCGTCCGAGAGGGTTTCTCGCTTCCAGCTTCCGGAACAATCTTCTCGGTTCCGACCTCAAATCACTCGTTTGTACTTGGCCGGTAGCGATGTTAGGGCGACTAAAGGAACCGAGAAAATTGCTCCGGAAGCTGGGAGCGAGAATCCACTTTCTCGGACGCTCCGCCCCCTGCTGATTTTCCTCCTGCGTTAGACCCCTTTTTCGCCGTTTTCGCGCTCTCTAGTGGTGATTTTCGGATTCAGCATAGCGAATAGGCCCGGGTAAGCACAAAATCTCAAAATCGACTTTTTGCCCGGACGCTGCCTTTAAGGTGGCGAATTGGAATGAATCGCATACCATTAGATGCGTCTTGATGAGCTGATTCCAAATCTACCTTCCATATCTGCGACAACGTTATCTGGAAGAAGTTATGAAAGGTTAAAAATGTGAAGTAACGGGGGTTTTGATGCATAATTTGCCTTAGAATCCAACTTGGAAGTACACGACTAGCAACTTCAAGGAACGCTCACATTCTAAAGAAACACAAATAAGTGCTTTGAACAACTAAAAAGTAACTAAAGTTCTTTGGTAAAAGCTATGAGCAATGAAAAGTCCAAATTTGGCAAATATACCTCGAACATTAGTTGTTCAAAAACACTTATTTGTGTTTTTTTAGAGTGTGAGCATTCCATAAAATCGGTACACTCAGTATCATGCTAGTCCTACACTCCCAAGTTGGATTTTGAAGCGAATTATGCTCTAAAACCCCCGTTACTTCACATTTTTAACCTTTCACAACTTCTTCCAGATAACGTTGTCGCAGATATGGAAGGTAGATTTGGCATCAGCTCATCAAGACGCATCTAATGATATGCGGTTCGTTCCAATTCGCCACCTTAAGTTGGGATCGTTCCCTTGTAAGATATCGTCCCCTCCACATTGCTGCTAACCTTAGTCTGCGTCGCAGACCTGCCACGTGTAGCTAACATGTTGCCAACGTGGCAACAACATGTTTGCAACATGCCACACATGTTGGCAGAACATTTTGGCCACACCAACATGTTGCTGCATGTTGCCAACCTGTTGCTGCCGACGTTGTCAACGTGTTAGTCACACGCGGCACGTCTGCGACGCCAAAAGGATAGCAGCAAATGTGGAAAGGACGATATATGCACCACGCGCGCAGTATTCCACGTGTGTTCCGATATGCCAATTTGCCGCATATCCGCTGCGCTTTGGCAGTTCCGGGCGTTTACGCGGGTTCGGGCGGATTCGGATGTATTTGGACGGGTTTGGGCGGATTTGGACGTATTCGGGCGGGGTTGGACGGATTCCGGCGCGGTCTGAACGATCCCTAAGGTGCTCCCAAATTTGCCCATACACTGCCTTTAAAGGCACCATCCACCCAAAATGTGGTTGATGAGATTTTGATGCCTAACAATAGTGTGGCCCCCAGCTGTATGCTTGCTCAACTCGCGCTGCCAGAAGGTGCTTCCCAAGCGAGCAAATTGCTTTAAAAATCGCTTTGGATGACGGATTCGCCACGTTGATTCCTCCCCTTTGTGGGGGCGTTTATCCCCCATTTGAGCGCACCTGACCAATCACCGTCCCGCACAACTCGCCCTGTGGGTTCTCCCGAAACGGGGTTTGTTGGGGTTTTCGCGGATTCTCGGCTTGATATTCGGAATCAGGGACATGGGAAGGCCCTGGAACAACAAAAACATGAAAGCCGAGAATGTGGGTGGACGACGCCTTTAACCGGATCGCAATTTTCCCTATTACACAGTGCACCAAAACTACCGGCGCTTGCCAATGTAAATGAAAACTACGAACAATTGCCGACCAAATCACCTCCCCCCCCCCCTGTGGTGGTTCAGTGGGTTTTTGGGGGACTCTTCGATGACTCAGCCAACACTTGGGGAGTAAGAATGTTTATCGGAGCACAAATACAGCCGGCTTGTTCCGGCACACGATACAGTGAAGAGTGAGGGGTAAAGTTGGCCAGCAGGAGGCTGGCCCTAACGGGCACAAAGAGTCCGCCAGATGGCGGACTCTTTGTGAAAAGCTTGCGATGTAAACACAATGGTCACAAAGAGTTACAATTTGGGCATGGGGTCGTGTGTTTATCACGACACTCCCCCCCCCCCCCCCAACTTCCGCCACAACGCAAGTCAAACTTTTCTCTATCGACACTTAGTACGCGAATGGTCCCTTCAAGACCTTTAGAGTTAACGTTGCTTTTCCGAAATGCCCCCTTAATTTCACGGAGCATATGTTCATGAACATCAAATTTTCTAGTATAGTTTTTAGGTGGAGATCACCCAGTTCAAAGGAAGCGTCCGGGCAAATCTGGACATATGGGGTTTTCCTATGGGAAGTGATTTTGGGGCCCCAACTAAGGCACTGCCCAAACGGCAGCTCAAATGGTGAACTCACAGTTGAGACATTCGCCTCCAAACTGGACCCCGGGATCATTCCCATGGATTCATGGCGCGACACGCATGGGTCCTCGCGCGAAACTGACGTGTCGTGCCATGTCCATGCGAATACGATCCCGGGGTCCAGCTTGAGGCGAATATCTCAACTGTGAGCTCACCATTTGAGCTGCCGCTTGGCAGTGTTGTAGTTAGGGCTCCAAGATTACCCTCCAAGTGAGATCCCCATAAGCTCAGATTTGCCTGGACGCTGCCTTTAAAGGCAGTGGCTCGGCAAATCTCACCCTAGTCAAATTTTCGCTTATCTGGGGTTATTCAATACGCTGGTCACGAAAATCCACTTTAAAGAGCTCGAAAACGGCGAAAACGAGCGTTTTTCGACCCCCTTCCCTTCAAAATTGGACAAGTGGAGCAAGGCTGATGACGCTGAATCATTGCGGGACCCAATGATTATAGCATTGCGGCGGGCAGCCTCCAGTGGTGAGAAGGAAGTTGCCAACTCGTCCGGGTGCGTGTAACATTGGCTAGCGCGTGTAAATTTGAGAGCGATTTTCTCCACAGGGAAGGCATGCTGTGCAACCGGAATTGCACTGTTTTCATACTTGGACGATAAGGAACCTACTGCGTTAAGATCCTAGGTTGTCAAGTTTTGCCGATCCACTGCCTTTAATACCAAGATGAAGAAAAAGCAAGAGGCATTTTGTCCTAATAGTCCTCCAAACCTTGCTGCGCACTTATTCCTATGAGTTTCAATTCACTGACTGCTTGAGGCAGCGAAAAATGATATGCGATCTTTTTGTGGACTTAGCATCAGCACAAGAGTGATATTCCGTTATTGATTGGGAAGTCTAGGTGCGTTCGGTCCAAAAACCTCTCAAGCAACTTCTTGTGTCTCCAAAGTTGCATCGTACACATACCATCCACGAGGATATGGATTTTTGTGAAATGCATCTTGGATAAAGATGCAGCACTTTTGACAAATCTGCAAACCGAGTTTGGAGTACCTTTTTTGGCAATTCTTCTTATTGAAATAGATGATATTGATGTAAAAACTGACTTCTTCAACAACCATAGGATTCAACAACACGGATTCTTCTCCTCCATAATCACTTCTGTCGGATGTTGTAAATATTGTACCGGTGTCACGGAATCGCTTCACTGTCTCTTGCACGGTCCTCACTGGCGTTCCAGTCAGAAAAGATATATCTTTGTTGGAGTATCCTTCCTCGTACAGTTGAACAATGGCGAGTCTATTTGGTGTATTTCTTCTCACCATTTACCTACGGATGAAGAAAATCAGTTCGAACAATAGGTGCAATTATACTTGATGCTTGACGTCCAAAAACAATAACCCTGACAATGATCCTACGCGAACTGCGCCGGTAAGCTTGGTGCACCCTGTACGGAAAGAACGCAAAAAATACGAAGGTCGAATGATACTGGCATGCCTCAACTAAAAAAAAACTAACGAGCCTCATCTGCCGCTGGATATTTGGCAAGGTGATTACAGATTCGCAATCTTTGCGATTGCTGAAGCATCTTGGTGGGGCTCAAGTTGCAGCGTATAAGTGCACCCTTTCTAGCTCTCAGGGAATTCAGATCCAAAAATCCATAATAGGTCCACCGTGCTGATTGGGTGCAATTTTGATGATCAGAGCGTCAGATACTCCCCTCTCTCCATGAAATTTCGAATATGGTATTTGTACTCAGCATGTCAGATAACCCCTCTAGCTTTACACTCGATTGTGGGAGAATGATCCCATAAAGGCAGTGTCCCGGCAGATTTTGCATTTCCATCTTCTCGATGTTTGGGGCCTTTTCGATCCTAGACCCTGAATTCGGGCTTTGAAACGGGTGAAAAGACCTTTTTCGGGGCGGCGTTTACTCAATTTTCAAAAGACAGCTCGGACGTAATCGGCCCATGGAAAACATCAACCAGCCGGACTGCGCCTGGAGGTCAGTGGGATGACAAGGAACCCCCTCAGACAATTGTTGCAGTGGCCCGGTCGCCCAACTGGGCTTCGCTTTTGAGCCGCGGCACCTAAATATCAGCCTTACATGCATCAGGCCCAGCAGCGGCCCAAAGGTGCGAGCTGGCGACCCGCGCACATACTTGATGCCATGCTGACGGTGGCCCGCGCGCCTGTCTAGGCTCGTAATTTCACTGGCGGCCCGCGCACCCATCACACGCCTGCCGAACTAACAGCGACCCGCTCATCCATATGAATTAACGCACGTTGTAAGCACAAGGGTTACTCGCGTGACATACGACGCAGTAAAAGGGATGCCATCGGAGCTTGCAGAAGGTGTAAGACTTGCATGTAGGCTGACAACAGGTTTCCTTATGAGTTGACCGTTGATAGAGTTCCAAATACTCTCGTGTAGTTCGATTAGTAGTGTGAAGCAGGAACTATTTCCACTATTTTTGATTTCACAAGGGTTGTATCCACATTTGAGGTGACTTGTGCATGCAGGTGCAGCCGAGCCGAAACCCAACCCTAGAGTGGCCCTGCTATGCTAGCGGGGGCCAACAAGACAAAGGAGACATTGAAATACAGGCTGGCCCGCTCGTCCGGGTGACAGGGTCGCTGCACACGCTGGAACCGTCGCTGGCCCGCGCTAGCATGGCAGGGCAAGGCCCGGAACGGGTTTTCGCCCAGCCAGCCATGAGCGCGCGGGTGGCCGCAAAAAATGTCTGAGCCACTGTAGCAAACCCCCCCCCCCCTCCCCCAGGGCGCGAATCTGCCGGGACAGTGCCTCTAACGTACATCCGCCGTAACACATAAGGCGCTATGGTAACGCGACTATGATGTTTGTTATTAAATGCCAACTAACCCCCCCCCCCCCCCTTCTGTACAAAAATTCAGCGGAATTTGAGATTTTGACCACTCTACATGAACACACTTTCTCGGGGGGGGGGGGGGGGGGGGGAGGAGGAATGTGTTCCCACCCCCTTCACCCCTGAGTCGGAACCCAGCTGACCCCCCCCCCCCCCTTCACCCACGGCCGATGAGAATTGGAAGATGTGAGACTAAGAAATCAACATTTTGAGCAAAATTATAAAACTATCGGCATTATTAAGATCAAATTCAGTGAATATTGATTCTCAATATTATTATTATGGTTATCAAAAACTTATTTGCAGGTTTACTGAGAAGTACATCGAAAATTTGCCGCCTATTGTTCACTTCTAGAGAATGAGAAAAAGCCTGAAGAAAAATTTACGTGACTTCGTGTATATATTAGGTCGTTCCGAAAGTAATGTCGCTTTTTTCAAACGTGCGCTACATCTCGTAGAACAAAGATGTGTAAGAGATTCTGGTAGCATTTGATGCAGCATTTCAATCTCTTTCTAATGGTTATATAAGCATTGCATAATAATCAATAAGCACTTGAAAAATTACCAAAAACTGCGACTCATGCTTTTTGAGAAGGTCAAGTCTTACAATTTTTCTAAATTTTCATAACAATCCTCGGAAGGAGTTCAAGTAATGGATGGATAGAGCAAACCGTACAGGAAACGGCACCAATTTTTTCTACTTCCCAGAGCTTGTCATAATTTTTGTAGAGATTTTTTGATGGAACCACCGAACTTTAACAGGCTCGTCTCAGACCCAAATGGATCAGACATCAATAAATTTTCGGATTTTGAAGCTTACAAAAATGGATTATGGTTTGACAATTTTACAAGCTAAATAAACATTCATCGCTTCAAATTAGCAACCTTCGAAATTTCCGGGTACAGCCTGGGGCGCCCTGGAAAACCCGAATTATGATGATTTTATCCCGGAAAACTTTATGAATCGAAAACAAAAACAACTGGTAAAAAGAGGAGAAAAAGCTGCGTCGAATGACACCCGAGTTGCTTGTCGGTTATTGTTCTGTGAGGTTTGAGTTGACCAAATATGGAATTTGATGGCACTGAAAATTTAACTCTAGAAACTCTAAGAAGCAAGCTAAAGAAAAGAAAAAATTACTCTGTGTCTTATAGAGTTTGCTCTATCTGAAAGTCACTTGTTTTTTTTTGAAATTAGGTACAAAAATTTAGGAAAATAGCCGAACTTGACCATGGCAAAAAGCATGAGTCGCAGACTTTGGTAATTTTTCGAGAGCTCATTGAATATTCTGCAACGAAATTACAACCATTAGAAAGAGGATGAAATGCTGCATCGAATGTTCCTAAGAGCTCTTAAAAATCTTGATTCCCTGAAATGTGGCGTTCGTTTGAAAAAAGCGACATTACTTTCGGAACGACCTAATATGTCAATGAAGTAATTCACGTATTTCTGAAATAATAAGTGAGCAGTGGCGGTCCCAGGATTTCGGACAGGGGGGGGGCGCGGAAAAAATTTTTTTCAAATAAAGGTGCGTGGCGTTAGCCACGCACTCCGAAAAAATTTTAGGAGTACTTCTCAAAATTTTTGCGGGTCCCCAACCCCTAAAATCTGGAAAAAGGGGGCGTGGCGTCAGCCACGCTCCCCGAAAAAAAAATTTTTTATAAGGCTAATTTGAATTTTTAAAAATTTTTGAAAATTATTTTAATTATTTACAAAAATAAACAAGTCGTTTGCACATTTTTATAATCCATATGGGTGAGTGTCAAAAATTTCGCGACCCATTCTCGGGGGGGGGGGGCGCGCCCCCCCCCCCCCTCGGACCGCCACTGTAAGGCCCGTATGCACTAACATTTTTGCGGCGAGGGGAGCGGCGTCCCCCGTTATGAAGGGACCGCGTGCGGGCGCCGCTGCGGGTTTTTCATCATTGGCGACGCCGCTCCCCTCGCCGCAGGGATGTTAGTGCATGCGGCCGTAAGTGAGATATATGAACTTTGATGATCGGTGCGCAGTTGAATTGCATTTTTTTTAAGGGGAATGAATTTTCTAAGCAGATGGCGGAATCCGTGAAAAGTCATTGATCGATTCCTTAAAGAGTCATTTTTCCAACTTTTAATATTATTTCTAAACTCTGACAGAGATGCTAACGTCTGCGTAGAGAAGAAAGTGCAACTAAGAGCACGTATTACATCGATGACTTAGTTAATCAGGGTTAGTGTTACTGTCAAAATGCAATAGCTACGAGGATCGTGGAGTTCTACAATCCGCCTACTTGGACGATGATATGGATGAGGGGACAACCAGAAGTGCATTGTTCCACGTTGGAACACTATACAAGAAGAGGAGGACAATCTATATGACTACTGGCGCTTGATTATTCTGAAAAAATTTTGTTTATTGGGAAACTTAAAAGATCTTATCGTTGAAGGCACCGTCCACCCAAAATGGAGATTGGCGAGATTATGATGGCATACTAGTGTGGGCCCCCATACTAGACAAACCCCCAAGTTTCGCCGCAAAAGATTGCTTCTGAAGCGAGAAATCCGCTCCGGAAGTAACAAAAGTGGGCGGGGCGCCCCCGATCGCCCCGCCCACTTGCATGTTTTATCTCGCCTGCACTTGTTGCAAAGGGTTCTCGAAACAGGGATTTTTGGGGGTTTTACGAATTTTCGACTCCATATTCGGAATCAGGGCTTTCAGAAGGCCTGAAGGCGACAAAAACATTGAATTCGAGTTGGGTGGACCGCCGGGGGCGCCCCGCCCACTTTGTTACTCCGGAGCGGATTCGCTTCAGAAGCAGTCTTTTGCGGCGAAGCTTGGAGGTTTGTCTAGTATGAGGGCCCACACTAGTATGCCATCATAATCTCGCCAACCCCCATTTTGGGTGGACGGTGCCTTTAAGAGGAAAACTCAGTCATAATTAACCAAGTCTGATTTAGAAGTTTAGTTTCCATCCGCTTTCAAAAATCATACAGCTTGCCAGGAAAAAGAGGGATTTTCCCTACTAGGTATAGAGAAAGAAAATATATAAATTGTTAAGAGGAGGATGCTAAAAGTACGTGGTGAAAGGGGGAGGAACATGGTATAATGGGCATGTTCCTTTCTGTACTCCAAAAGCGTCGTTTTAAGGAGCTAAAGGAACATGCCCATTATATCATGTTCCTCCCCTTTTACCACGTACTTTTAGCATCCTCCTCTTAACAACCTATATATTTTCTGAAAGCGGACGACAAGAGGAATTCAACGAACATCTAAACACTCTCTCCACTTCTCATATAAAAATGTTATAATTTTTTTAAATTAAAAATTGGCTTAATTCCGGAAAAACGGCTACGACCCCTTTCACCCGATAGAAAAATCCCCTTTTTTCCTGGCAACTTATCTATTTTCAGAAAGCGGACGACAAGAGGATTCCAATGGAGTGCAGAGGCTTCTAGCTTTTCATATA